AAAGACATATTACATCATTTTCGGCTTTCCGGATAAAAAACTGAAAATTTGTCATGTAACAGCATTAGCGCTTTTCATGAAATTGACATCTCATGACCTTTGAAAGAAAAAAAAAGAGAAGAAGAAACAATGAGAAGAAAGATTTTTTGGTTTTCAAAACAAAGAATAGTATAGGTTGAAAGACGGTGAAGAAAAAAAGCTGGATTTTCACATACACAAATCATTTAATTGTCAGCACTAAAGAAAGATTGTGTTATATCATAACTGTTAATTTTTTTTCTGGTGTTTCAACTTTGTTTCTTTAAACTGTATAGTTTTTTTTAATTTGCCAACAAACTAATCCATTTTCTTCTTGTTGTACAAGTATGTTTTTTCAATTTGTTCATCAGTGATCTCAAGGTCTCTTATAATCATCTCCAATTCAACAATGCTTTACTGTAGAATTTTTTTTATTTTCATTTTTCTCTTTGTACTCGTTTAGTTCCCGTAGACAATACATTATTTGAAAATAATTATAAAAGAGAAACACACAAAAACACGTAGGAAAACAAATTTACGTGTTACATACACATAAATACAAAAACAAAACAGAAACAAATTGTATCATTTCTGGCTTGTTAACAGTTTCTGATTAAATGAAATGCATGATGACCGTTATTGCATTTTTACGATCATTACGACATCTGATCATCGGCAATGTCCCCGAAGACCCTTATTCCTCCTTGCAACCCTAATCAATGTATTGCGCTCTACTGTATCATTTGGAAACAACTGCCACTTTCTCAAAAATAAGGGACCGGCAATCGAAAACACCGGAAATTGTTGTGTGAACAGATGCCAACAGCAATGCAAAGAAACTATATCCATGAATAAAAATAGGGGCGCAATTCACAAGCGATTCTTCCGGATCAACAGATTTCAAAAATTTTAGAGCAGTTTTTGAGCACTAATTTGCCTGGTCAGAGTATATTGAAGAGTAGGTGCATAAAATTTGTTATGAATAAAAACTCGCCATGTTAACACTTCTTCTGTTTGTGGCTGCAAAATTCAACAACTGTTTCCAATTACCGAATGCTATTCAAAAAGTAACAAAAAAAATGTTTCATTTTGTATTATTCGATAAAAAAAATTTATTTTTTTTTAAATCAAGTATTTTGAGTTATATTTTCAGTCTAGTTCTAATGCTATTAGGTTGTTACTAAACTTTAAATACCAAAAAAATAAAAATAAAAATGAAAAACGAAGCAATAAACATCAAAAAATAAAAATAATTGTAAAAATTCCTGAGAATGCTATATTTTGTTGTTTATTTCTATTTTTGAATAAATCCAAAAATTCACTAACAAAAACTGCTTAGGAAAATTCAGTTTCACATCAATCACATCAAATAAAGGTTTCTCCCATCAGGTTGATAAATGTTTGGTTTGTTGATCTTTGTCGGTACTACCAGCAACAAGTTTTGGGTGAGAACCAAAATAAAAAAAGAATTTGGAAAGGGGTGGAAAGATTAATAACTGCTAATAATTTGCAATATCTTAAGCAGAAAAAAAATTTGTTACATTAAAATTCTTTAACTGTCATAGATGAGGTGACCTAAGTAAAAAATTTTTTTGTT